AATGTCCTTGTCGTCTCGCGCCTTCGTGATAAGGTCGTCGAAGAATAGCTGTTTTGCTTCTCTGACCACCCTTTTAAACTCCTGCCGAAGAGCTTCTATCCGTTGGGGGATAGGATTCGTGTCGGGACTGGCTGAGTTGGAATCGGGCCAGTGTTTGAACGAGTACTCGCAGAATTCGTCATAATCCAGGTCCTCGAGTGGGAGAGCGGGAGCCGGGTCGAACATTTCGACGTCGCTGCCTTTGTCGGACATTGTGGTAGAGCTCGCGTCTTTGTCGGATTTGGGTAACGTGGAGCGCGAGGAAAGGGAGGTAATGCGAGCCGACAGAGAGCTATGGTATGACATTCGCGCCAGTGGTTAGCACGTTGCTGCGATGATCGGGCAAAGGGTCTTACCATACCGAGAGAAGTGACACGAAGGGAACGCAGGACCCTTTCTTCCAACAACCTGGAAGGGAAGAGCTAAAGGTTCTGTGGGAGCGAGGAAACAAAACCGAGGCTGTTGGGCTTGTTGATGAAAAGAAGAGAAGAAGAAATTTTGAAACCCAACAGGTTCAAGACGGAGGGCACCTGAAGAACGAAAACCGTAGTGGGGCGCAATGCTGAGTGGAGATAAGAAAAAGAGAGGTTGTTCGTTTGCACTTCTCTCCGCCCTCCCTTCACCGGTCCTCTCGTCTTGGCATCCATTCACCTGTCGTTGGGATAGCACCTCACCTTTCGCTACTCAGCTTCAATTCCAGAACACTATCTACACACCAACGAGCAGGGGGCTTCCACTGCTTTTCGATCCGACCATTCACCTGCACGCCCATCCAGGTATTTAGGCCGCCCTCGTTTCTGTTTTTCTTCTTCTGCTTGAGACAACTCCGGGAGTCGCCTTTTTCAGCCTCCAACAACTACTCTCTTCATCTCTGCAACCCGTTCACTCGGCACTCGCAGCCATGACACCTCCCCTACAAGGCGCCACCATCTTGGAAGTCGAAGCAAGTTGGCAGCAGTTTCTGCGCGTGATAGAAACCGTATTCGACTCGCTTGTGGAAACGCCCGACTTGGCAGAAAACCTACTAAAAGCTGAATGGACCCAACTTAAGCTTCACTGGGTAGCAGCCTCGCCCGCATGCATCGCCGCAACAGGAGAAGAAAAGTGTTCCCGGATTCGAGAGCATATCCAGAATATTGGCAAGCAACTCGATCTTGCGTTGGACAAAATCTACGGAACCCAAGAGGAATGGCAGGACTCCCCGTCCGCGACCAATGTCCGTGGCAAATGTCGACTTTTGGAGATAATCCGCACGTGCCTGGAGAACGGAATTTCGACACCGTGCGAGACGGAGGAGAGGAATTGGCTGAGGAGTTATAGCGAGTCATTCCCGAACGTGTTGAAGCAACTGAAGGTTCTCAGGAACAGCTGGCGGAATCCCCGGCCCGTACTCGTGACATAACAGGATGAGGAGGAAATGGAGCCAGAGGAGTCAGGGTGGAATGTGGATGAAGACAAGTAAAAACGACCTTTGGGGCTGGAGAATCATGTCGAGGAGGGAATGGATGTAGGCAGGTGTGGGAGACTCAGTCGGTTGACAATGCACGATTCACAGGTTTTCATATCTCTTTAGGATGCAGTGCGTCCCGGTCATGCTTTCTTACAAATCTGGAAGAGCATAATTGACGTGTTTTGATACCTCTTCGCAATTTATAATGCAGTGCGTTTTGGTCATGTGTTTTCACAAACTGGGAGAGCCTCTAGCAGCGCATATATGCACATGCAATCTCATGTCTTTGCTTCACGTCCTGCTTTTGCGCTCTTGGTCAACGACCTGGGCAAAGTTGTCAGCCTTGTAAGTAAAGTAGGTCCAACCCCCTGGAACTTTCAAGACCTCACAAACAAAATATCGAGGAAATCGAGTTACTAGATATAGTCTTTTCCAACCTGAAGGTTCCGAACTTTTTTGGATTTTTACAGCCGAGTATCATGCAGCTGCGGGTAGTGGGGGATATCCGGTGAAATGCGCGTCGAACACCATGCATCGGACATCGAAACGGCGGACTACCCAGCAGCTGTACCTGCATATTGTGAATTTCTATTTTATTGCTATGTGGCCTCTGGTGGGTATTAAAATCTCATGAATTGCCCTCGCCTCTCCCCCAACGCCTTTTCTCCAACTTCTCCGACAATTTTCCATCAGACCACAACCCAAACATTTCCTCTAAGCAAACCAAACCATCACTTCGGGGCCCGAAGTTCGGGCCTCATCTCCACGACCACCCTATTGACTCGACAATTTCAACTCCCACAGAGAACACCCGCCATGTCGACTCCCACAGAAGACACGCCTGTCATGTCGACTCCGACGGAAGATGAGCCCGTGTCAGCTCCCACAGAGGACAACCCCGTGTCAACCTCCACAGACAACCTCTTGTCCACCTCCACAGAAAACACGCCCAATTCATCAACCACGCCCTCCCCACGAGACGATCTGGAGAAAAGAATCTCCCTCCTCGAATCCAAAGAGTGGTCGCATGAAGAATTTTACAAAGCCATGATCTCCACCGTTACCAGGCTCGAGCAAAGGATTTCCAACAAAGCCGGACAAGTCTTTGACATCATTGTCAAAGAGGTGTATAACGCAGCGGAGCTCATGAATGATAACCACCACATGGCATCTACCCTTGAGGAGGCTCGACAGAAGTTGGCACTCGAACGCAACCAAGGCATTGCCTGGAATCAGGCGGTGTCTCTGAGAGAAAAGCTGGTCAACGACCGAGAGGACAAAGTCAACGAAAAGGCGCGGAGGCGAGAGGTTAAGCTTGACGAGCGGGAGCAGGAGCTTTCCCTGCGTGAGCACACCGTGAAGCGACAAGAAGAGGCCCTCAAGGCTGGCTCGGTGCAGGTGCGAAGGGACAAGGAGGAGCTAAAGGATATGGTGGCAAAACTACAGAAAGAGAAAGGGAGGCCTTTGACGGAAGAGACCGAGGAAGAGCGAATGAGGTTGCTGGATGTGGCGACGGAGATGCTGATGAAGGAGAAAAGGGCCGAGTTTGAAATTGAATGGGAGGCAAAGAAACGGACCCTCGGTGAGACACAGCGTGCGGCGGCAGAGCTTTTGAGGAGGGAGGGACAGGAACGAAGCCAGTTTTGGGGGTTGTATCCCAAGAAGCGGAAGGCAGATAATATGGAGTAGCTTGCTCCTCGACGGCGACAGAAAACGGTTTTGGTCGCTGTTCGCCAGCTTCTCTGTATTGACCTTCTCTTCTCTTATGTTTTGTATAGCTCGGAGGAATTGTAAGGGTTCTACGAGGTATACACGCAGGTAGGCCTTGGTGAAAGTGATAATATTGACAAAGAGGAAAAGGGAAGTCTGTGCCAGTATGGCATGGAGCTTACAGCTAAATACACAAGAGAAGTGCGGATATCGAAGGTGCCAGAAACGCCAAGGTCAGAAATTCGCCCACTGGGCGATTCGATTACAAGTGTTGGGCCGCGTTTACGCTATGGGCAACACATGATTTACATTGGCAATAGGCCTTGGTTTGCCCTCGGATTAATGGTTTTGGTGGACAATTAGGGCACTGCTCTTAATTTTGTATGCTAGACTCACCGGTGCGGCACGTCTCATGCCCTACGGGAGGCGGAAGTAGACGTTAAAAATAACAACAACAACAACAACAAAAGCCAAGGTCAGAAATGTGGTTCGTGCGGCGCACCCCAGGAGTGCACTCAACCGGAGAGCAGGCCTGGCTTGTATAGGATTCAAGCCAGGCTGTCACACGGACATTCGCCGGTGACATTCATCAGTCAAACTGCCGACCGGAATTACCGACGGGCAACTGGACGAAGGCTGGCATTCAGAAGATCTACTTGTAGGCAGATGAACTAGATAGACTCGCGCCGATGCCTGGCACCAGGGCTCGGTACGTACCAACCTTCTTTGGTATAAGAAGGCATTAAGGCCCGACCTTCTTATGGAGGTTGAAAGATCAACAAGGCCTTCGAGACCAAAGTAGTTTATTAGCTGAATTGAACTACTGTTCCAAGCCCTGAATACAGCCCTTGTCACACAGGCAAACATCCCTGGGCGCCAGCCCCATGACAGGAATAACGACGTTCGAACGGGCAGGCATGCGGACACATGAAGACTAGAGTCTGGCATAAAACGAGTTAGCTACCAGGGTTCAAGACAGCCATTTGACCTACAATCAATATCGGAAACTGCTATTCGGACAGAAACCATGCTATGTGTACATGTGTATGCCCTTCGTGCTTGTAGGGGTACGGGAGAACTTCCGAAGAATCTTCTGGATGCTGTAGGCTGGTAGTAGCGTCGGCGTTCAGGCAGGTTGCGTCAATCATCGGGGGCTCTTGGACTCCCTGTGGACTACATGTCCCACTTTTCCTTGGAATGCACAGCATGAATATGTTCGGTCGAAGTTCGCGGTAGACTTTCGGGGCGTCGTGCAGTGGGTATGAAAAGCTTGGGTCCCGCACGGTTGAGATTTCGGCTGCCGGAACTCTGGGGGAGAGCTCGGGGACGCAGGTTTCGAGGTTTGTAGACTCGGCGGGTATCAAAGTCTGCTGATGATAAGCAAGTATTAGCATGCGGAAACTGGGAATTTGGGGAGGTGACGGGAGTTTGTGTTCATCATCTGAAGATACCAGAGCGATGGGGACGGTTGCGATCTTGTTCCTCACGTGACCAGGTGCTCTACGTGTCGTAGCAAGACGCGCACAGAACAATGATTTGATCCAGAAATTGCAGTGGCTGTCAGTGACGTTTGGTGTGAGCCGGCGTCCGAAATGTGCCTGGAGTTGCGTCAAAATGGGGATGTCGTAAGATAATGGATGAGCCACCGGAGGAATTCGAGGGTTCCGCCTGAGAAGATGCTTATCATCGAAAAGAATCTGGGTGGAAACGGAAGGCGAGTAGCTCCTTCCAAGTTTGACATTCTCTTGGCGTCTTCGCAAACCTGTGCTATGGAGACACTCGAGAATTGCACCACTTTTACAACACTATGTCCACTGAGAAATTCTCACAAAGACTGCAATGGTGATCCCTCGGTTGTATATTGCTATCCAAATAAATGACTTTCCAAGAGCCAACTGTTAATGGACGAGTGTCTTCGACTCACAAAAACGCAAGACATGTCGATCCTGTGGATTACGGAGATGTTTCATGCCAAGTGCGAGGCTTAAAAGTCTGGGGACACGAACACTTGGGGGAGCTCGAAGACTCGGTCGCGATGGGATTTACAAGGAAATGGAGTTCGCGGACGAAGCCTAGTGATTTATGACGGGATGCCTAGCAGGACGACGGCATCTTTGGGCAGGAGGACCGGTTTCATCCATGTATTGCCAAGAAAGTCTCCCTCGTACTGGAAGAAGACTCATCAAAACCATGACTGCGAAAACAGGAAGATTCAAGTCATGAAAGTTGCTTTCCTACGATGACCTGCACGATGTGTGAAAGAGCTACCGGGTTGAGCGAGATGGTCATCATATCTCTTATCTTCTCGATCCTCACATGAATCCCACTTTATTCTTGGAATTGTATCGAAGGACTCCTCCCTTCTCTCATCCTCATTCTCTCCTTCTTCAATCAACAAGATCACCAACATACTCGTTCACTTGACATGCGTGACAGTTGGTTGATGAAGAGAAGCCATCATGATTAGTTGTCATGAATGATAACCAGTGATTCGTTTCCATTGGTGATGACATCTCCAGGTAATGTAGAAATCCTTTCTGTCGTACCAGGGAAGGTGGTTGTCAAATCAACCGACCGTCATGGACAGTCCAACACGGCCCCCTTTCGCTAGAAAAGGGCGTTGAGAGACAGGGATAATTGTTAGTGAGAGCCTTTTATGGATTGTTCACCTCAACTATCTGAAATGAAGTACGTATGAAACACGCCGGGGCCCGCCAAGACGATACCGAAGTCGTAATATATTGGCCGCAACGTATCTCGTAGGGAGGCACTGAGAGACATCTCGGACCAGGGATACCAGCATGCAACACATGCTTGAAGTGGAGGGAAAGCAACATGTACCTTGACTCCTTGAGAGGCTCGTCCGGGTTGTGTTGCCGCGGGCTTATACAAAAGCCATGTTCTTCTCCCTTGGTCGAATACTTCCCACGTCTTGACATGTTCTCTCTTTCGCATCGTCAACCTCGATCTCGTATTTTCCCATTCGTTTTAGTCAGGCATGGTAAACTGTTTCCTCGCGAATCCATACGAGGACGAGTTTGTAGCGAACTGGATAGCACGAAGGCCAAGTCGACATTGGCGTTGATCGAGCGAACGATTTGTAGGTTGGTGGATCGAATGTTCGGTTCGAGGACAGTCACTTGTTTTAGATGAGCTTGAGGATGGCTCTGTCAAGGAAGACGTCGGCGTGTAAAATAAAACAGCAGCAAGTTCCGGGCCCTTCTGTCGTTTTCCGTAATGGAGTGAATTGGCGGCATCGAGCTTCCGTCGTAGCGAGACAGGTTTGCTAATTGCTGTCGTCTCGTATTGTGGAAAAAGTCACCGCGCCAACCACACGATCTCGTCCTACTCATTAGGCCGATTCTATTCCCCCAAATGCATAGCGACAGACGTCATGTCTCGTTATCGCACATTACTATCTTATTACCAGCCGATAAGACAGCCCCGCCAAGGACGCTAGGCTTGCCGACAGTAAGCGCGGAGAGCGGGGCACATGTCAGACGCCCACGAGGGAGCCCCTCTTTTTGGTTAGTGAGAGTCCACTGAAGCTCTCCCAATATTGCAGGTGGTTGTCCCAGCAGCTCGCTCGACCTTGTAAAAGCAGTCTCTTCGCCATCCTCCGCGACAATGCCCCGCACGCTTGGTTGGCGACCTTCCCAATTGATCAGTAGTTGTAGGGTCACCCGTCCGACAAAACCATTCTTCCCTCCAACCTCTTCCCCTTCACTTTCACTTCCCCCTTCTCCCTCAACAAAACATACCTCACCGAGTCGATTCGCGCCCATCAAGCTCGCAAAATGGCCCCCCAACTCGACAGCTACTTCCACAAGGTGGACTCCCTGTCCGACCACTTCATCGAGCGCCTCCGCCAGGCCGTCGCCATCCCCTCCATCTCGTCCGAGGCCGCCCGCCGCCCTGATGTCGTCCGCATGGGCCAGTGGCTCGCCGACGAGCTGACCAAGCTGGGCGCCACCGTCGAGCTCCGTCCTCTCGGCAAGCAAGAGGGCACCGACCTCGACCTCCCTCCCGTCGTCCTCGCCCGCTACGGCAGCGACAAGAACAAGCGCACCATTCTCGTCTACGGTCACTACGACGTCCAGCCCGCCGAGAAGAGCGACGGCTGGGACACCGAGCCCTTTGACCTTACCGTCAAGGAGGACGGGCGCATGTGCGGCCGTGGCGCCACCGATGACAAGGGCCCCGTCCTGGGCTGGCTCAACGCTATTGAGGCTCACAAGGCCGCCGGCGTCGACTTCCCCGTCAACCTCCTCATGTGCTTCGAGGGTATGGAGGAGTACGGCTCGGACGGTCTCGAGGAGCTCGTCATGGCCGAGGGCAAGAAGTACTTTGCCGATGCCGACGCCGTGTGCATCAGCGACAACTACTGGCTCGGCACCGAGCGCCCTTGCCTGACCTACGGTCTCCGTGGCTGCAACTACTACAGCGTCGAGGTTTCCGGCCCTGGTGCCGACCTTCACTCTGGTGTCTTTGGTGGTACCGCTCAGGAGCCTATGACTGATCTCGTCCGCATCCTCGCCTCGCTCGTCGACACCGACGGCAAGATCCAGATCAAGGGCATCGCCGAACAGGTCGCCCCCGTGACCGACGAGGAGGAGGGCCTGTACAACGACATTGCCTTTACCATGGAGACCCTCCACGAGTCGCTCGGCAGCAAGACCACCATCTTCGAGGACAAGAAGCCGACCCTCATGGCCCGCTGGCGCTTCCCTTCCCTGTCCGTCCACGGTATCGAGGGTGCCTTCTCCGCCCCCGGAGCCAAGACCGTCATTCCTGCCAAGGTCATCGGCAAGTTCTCGATCCGTACCGTGCCCGACATGGACATTGAGAAGACCAACCAGTGCGTGTACGACCACGTCAACGAGGTCTTCAAGAAGCTCGGCTCCAAGAACACCATGAAGGTGTACGCCCAGCACTGCGGCAAGTGGTGGAAGGCCAGCCCCAACCACTGGAACTTTGCTGCCGCTGCCAAGGCTACCGAGCGCGTCTGGGGCATGAAGCCCGATTTCACTCGCGAGGGTGGTTCCATTCCCATCACCTTGACTTTCGAGGAGGCTACCGGCAAGAACGTCCTTCTCCTGCCCATGGGTAGCTCCACCGATGGTGCCCACTCCATCAACGAGAAGCTCGACAAGAGGAACTACATTGAGGGCATCAAGCTCTTGGGTGCTTACTTGCACTACGTTGCTGAGGAGCCCATGAACGCTTAGGCGGGAGTGGAAGAGGTCAAACAGGGACCGGTGCGGCAATCATGTAGGACGATACCATCTCGTCGGTGGATGATGTTTTGGAAAAGTAGTCAATTAGTTCGAAATACCCATTTTGTGATACCAGTGCCAGGCCAGTTCGTATATCTTTGGTGTCTCTTGTCTTCGCCCGGTAGAGCTTGTTGAACGTATGAAGCCTGATTTGATGCAGTGCTCGTTGCTACCTGCCTCAAAGGCCGAGGCTCAAACGAGAGGATGACATAGAGCTATTCATGACGAATTGTGTCAGCGCCCAGACAGCCTTGTGCAGACAGTCGGAAGCGAGAAGAGGAAGGTGAAGGTTGGCAAGGCAAGATACCAGGCTGATGTGCTCCTCAACTGTTCCGCCCAAGTTTTGATTTCAATCGTTTGGCTGCCTGGATCATCATCCATCTCACTTCCATTCAACGGGTGCGGCTCCCCAGAGAATAGATGATCTCGAGGAGAACATGGCCAAAATGTGTGCTCGGCTGATGACATAGAAAAAATGGAAGTGGACAAGAAGTGATTTGTTTTTCCCGAGACATGGCGAGCAAGCCAAGCCAAGATAATGTACCGAGAGAATAGGAGTAGGTAGCAAGAGGTATGTCTCCGTATAGGATTTACTCGTCAGCAGGTGGTTCACACCCCGACATTAAGGAGAAGGGACTTTTGGCGGTGATGGCGTCTGTACCTAGGTTAGTTGCTACCTACCTTAGCCAGCTGGAGGCTCTGTCATTACAATGGAGACGGGATGCTTGTTCCATTCAGCGTGCCAGTTATAACCGGAGATGTGAGATGCCACGCTCGATTGAACCCAGGACATCATCTCATACAAGCAGGAGCTACCTACCTACCTAGCAGCTGGAAACTAGGACGTGGAAGTGATTGAGATATACATAGCAGTACACCATCGCCTTGGGTTCTTCATACAGATAATCCTATATAGGAGGCCTTGATGGAGGTAGGCGTGGTTGACGAGATGCCAAAGCAACCTGTGAGGTGACCGCTCCAGACGGCGGTTGTTGTCCACCTCCAAGTGGTCTGGATCTGGACTACCTTATTCCTCTAAGAGGCCCTGAGACCCCAAGCTGGACGCATGCCTAGAGGTATGATCTCCAGATCAGCCGGCGGTTGAGATCTGGAGGCTGAGCTTGTAGCTTCTGAGCCGTAGATGCTTGTGGGTTGAGGTAGTTTGATAGCTCTAATCAAGGAAACGTCTTGTTCTATATCTAGAAGACAAATAGCTCCTAGCACCGCCAGTATGCCATATAAAGGCCACTCCTCCGACGGACCGTGCTGTGTCACTACTTGTGCGGCACCCTAAAGAAAACCCAACGCAAGAACACCCTGATGAAGCCACCCACCAGAAACGAAAATGTACCAAACTCCCCCAGGTTCATGACAACAAATACTCTATCCACAGGAATGGTCTAGAAAAGTAGGTATTGCAGCCGCCGTCTTTCCCATGTCATCTGCCTTGCGCCAATGCCCATCCCAAATTATGCCCCCATATATGTACCGTATGCGCAATGTCCATATCCCAGCGCCATGATTACAAGGAAGAAAGCCAACAACAAAGTGAAACAAGGAAAGAAGAAAAGAAGCTCCCTGGGTAACAAACGCAAATCGATACGAACACACAAAGATCGTAGGCCAAGTCAACCAACAGCCACGAATATGGGAAATCCAGTCACAACCGATACGACCGGGCATCCTCCAGTCCGGCAAAGCGACCAAATCCAACTTCACGACCAGGAAAGCCCTCCCCTATGCGGCTTCATGTTGGTCACCTTCCCCTTACGCCGCTTAGCCACGGTCTCGGCATCCCAGACTCCAGCAAAGATATCATCGCATTCCGAGTCATCGTCCGAGTCAAAGACCACTGCTGCCGTTGGCGAAGAGACGGGTTCCTGTTCCTGTTCCTGATTGTCCACCTCTGCCCCATCATCATCATAATCATCGTCATCAACTGCTTCCTTCTGCTTCCGTTTTCCACTTACCCTCTTGACCGTCCCCCGTTTTCCATCCATCCCCATACCCCCAGAAGCACCCTCCCGGTTATCACAGTCCTCCCAACTCCTAAACGTCACGACCCTGGCACATTCCAAGATGAATTTGCCGACTTTGTACTTTTGCGAGCTTTCCTTGGCATCCACATACTTCCACCCCAGCTTGGTGCCGCACACGGCGCAGGTGATGTCGGCGACGGTGTGCTGGCCCGTTACCAGGCGGCGGGACTCGGGGGCTTCGGTGAGGATGTTTGGTAGGTCTGTCGTTTTCTTGCTCTTGTTGGCAGATGGCGATTGCCCCTGGTGATGGAAGAACCCGGACCCGGGCGAGGACCGGCAAGGTGTAGTGGGTGAGACGAGATAGGCGCGGCCGTGGCGGCCGGTGAAGCCTTTGCTGATGATCTGGGAAGTGAGGGCTATGTCGCTTGCGCAGTGGGCGCAGCGGAGGATGTCGGGTTGGATGGGTGAGAGGCGTGTGGGATTTGAATTTGACTGGACCGTCGGGGTGTAATCGGAGGATGAAAAGGCAGTGGCGAATGAGTCTGGGGAACTGGAGAGTGATGGGACACTAGTGTCGGATTCAGTGTCGTCCAGGTGGTGATCGTATGTCAGAGACAGTGTTGTTGATGGTGCACGGCGTCGACGAAAGGGGAAAGTGAAGCTCGGAAGGAGGTAGATGGGTTTGGTTGGGCCACTCTCGGCCGAAGCCGGTGAGCTGCTGGTTGTGTACAAGTTGAAAACCATGGTGTGTGTCGTTGGCCGATACACTCTGCTGTGATACGGGGATTCGGGATCTCCGCGATAATTTGAGGTTACCCGACGGCGGTTGCGAGAAAGATCACCAAGTGGAATGGCAACGAACAACGCGAAAGACGTGAACTTGATTTGAACAGACTCAAACAGATTGACAGACTTACAAAGAACCAAAACTCAAAACAACAAAAACTTGGGAGCGGTGGACATATACCTACCTTTTCAACCAACCCAGGGGTCAATGAGGCTGGCCATGTCCCAGGTGTCAGGTTGAGGGGGGGGGGACGTGGTCATCCGGGCGTGTCATGCCTCGAACCTCCTTGACCCTCATTGACCTGTTCTCGACCCAATCCTCGGACCGTGTTGCGATTCATGAACCGTGACAATGAATGGACGAGAGGGCATGTCTGGTGGTCGACTTGTTCACAATCATTGAGGTCCATGTTTGCTACACGGACGGTTGAGAACAAGACACTGCATATGCAGCAGCACCCAATGCTATAATTCGGTGGAAGAGTGAAGGAATGGCTGAAAAGGGAAAATGCCCAACACGCGTTGAACTTGTGACCTGATGCGATGCCGGCACACTTTCCCTTCAACAACACATCCTGTAGATCCCCGAGCGCCCGGCCGTTTCGAGACAAGTCCTCCTTATCGATAGGCAGAGGATCTCCCAGAGGCCCGGGTTGATCCCTCCACTCCAGACCCGGGCGCCCGAGACCGAGGAGAAGGGGGTCCAGAGTGTTTCAAGGGGGGTCTGTCATTATCTGTTCGTCGACTTGGCGCCGAGAACTCGTTTTACGTGTACGTGGTGTTTACGTGATCCGATGGAGTTGAATTGTTGGTTGTACGTTAAAACAATCAAATACCGAGACTTGGCTTCGTAAAGAAAACAAAACGAAAAACGGATTCTGAGATTGCGATGACACAGCAAGCGAAAAGTGCGGCCGTTGAGGGGTGGGGAAAACATCATGATGAGTGTCACAAGAAGAGAACAAAGCTCAGCCAAGACTTGCATTCAACGAAACCAAGGCGGCCAAGCGACCACGTGATGGCGCAAAAAGAGCAGACCTGGCAAGAATTACCCCATTGTTTCCTCATTGATTTGTGAAGGTGTTGGTTGAATAAAACGCAATTTGCCCCCCGGAATTGAACACACAGTCACAGCAGCAGCAAGTGCACAGAGAGCATAGACCCAAGAGTCTCGATCCATTTCCTCCCAATTCCACTCTCGACCACGAAACAACCAACCACACCGCCACGGGGACGATTATCAAATCCCTAGAAAAGTTCCCTGCAGCCCAATTCTTTATCTCCATTTCAAATTGCCCAACCCCTGCTACGGTAGTATATCTATCCGTCAATCAATCCTCAAACCTAAACCACCAACATCCATCGTCTCCCTCGTCAACCGATATCGACAACATCCGACTTTACCGGACCTCAACCTAGGACCATCACCTACGACTTATATCCATCTATCCGACATCGATATCTATCAGCGACACTCACACCTCTCTCTCATCAACCTATAACCCTCATCGCAACATCGCAAAAGCCGACAAGGTGGCATCTATCAACAATGGCGTCAATGAAACAGGATAATCTCTTTAGTAGTAGTAGTAATTACTACGGCGAGGACGTCGCTTCTTCCTCTTCCCCTAGAATGGAGGCCGTCGACATCCTCGCCAGCTGCTACCTCGTTTCCAACTACCCCGGGGCCCAGCTCAAGGGCCTCCACTACTGCGCTACGGGCCTCACAGGGGCCGAGTGGTATTCCTGAGGTCCCTTCGACGGGACTTCCATCGCCGCCATCAAGCCCCCCCCTCGCGGCCCTCGACACGTCGACCAACCAGCTGGCCGTGACTGCCAAGGCGAACAAGTCATCTGCTGGAAACAACAGACGTGCCACGGGTACTAACCGGTCGCCACGAGGGGGGGCAACACTACGCATCAGGGAAGAATGTGAGAGGTTCTTTTGCGAGACATTGCGCGCCGTGCTTCTAGGTGAGAAGAACTCGGCGATGCAGGGCTCGGGCCTGGCTAGTGTTTACAATGACAACCACCATCATTCCGTCAACAACAACAACGGCAATCACACTCCTTTGCCAACTCCGCCATACGACGACTGTCCAATCGGGGATGAACACCTGATGAGTCGTCACGGTTTCGTCGATGCTCGCAGTGTTGTCGCCGGAAACGGATCGCAGCAACACTCGCGCGTCGACTCCTGGATCGAGCTATGGGATTACGTCGGCGGCACCAGCTTCCGCGGCGTCGTCGCTGAGGATATGGAAACTGGGGAGAAGACGTTGATGATCTTTTTCGACGGGCAGAGTGTGGAGGGAAGGGATTTGAAGAAGGCGTATGTACCCGTTTCCTATTTTCCCATTTATGTCAATACCTACTAACCGTCACTCGACAGTCTCGTAGCCCTCATCGAACTCGCCGACGGTCCCCTCGCCTGCTCCCACATGGTCATCTGCCTCGACCGCACCATCTCCGACGAGGAAGCAGTGCCCTTGATGAAGGGACTGCAGTGGGCTGGCTTTTCCATGACCACTTTCGACTTTTGGTCCGGTGGAAAGATTTGTGACGTGACAAGTGGGAGGTGGTTGTTTATGGGGATGGAGATGTGATCCACGCCGTGTGACATGGCGGATGCATCGGATGGAAAACTAGGGGAGGAAGGACCTGGAGGAGGGGAGGAGGAATAACTGGCTGTGAAAAGCGGGAATTTCTTTTGCATCTCTTTTTTTTCCAAAAGTCTACTTGCTTCCTTGTATCTGTTTCTTTCCATTCATTGTGCGTTTTCTCTTCTCTTCTTGGTTGATGGACTTGAGAGCACATGACAGGTGCTGGATGGCTTCAAAGTTTGGGGAATGACTCATCTTCTGTGTTATACTTAATGGACGGTTTGTTGAACGAGATAGTTTCACTTCATGGCTCAAGATAGGAATACACATCATCTCATGGCACAGAACGCATCACGTCGTGACACTACTATCCAACTTGATTGTGACATCGTAGGCCGTCCTCGTCTAGGACAATACAACGTGAACTGCAGCCGAGTCAGGCCGCCAAAGTCGTGGCATCGCTCTGAATACCAAGACGGTCTTCATTCCTCTCACTACTTTGATTCCTTTCATTCGTCCTCGTGGTCATCCATAGTCCCCAATAGCTATTTACAGCCATACAACTCGCTGGTGTTATATCACTGGGCCGTTGGGATCGTGCTCTGGAGTCTACGTCCATTTCGATGTCCTGGACGACAGCCGTCTAAATCATTTCTATATGCTATGCAAAATCTTTTCACCTACAAATCACCCTCAAACTGCCTCACCACCAACCCCCTCGCCTTCAACTCCTCCTTGACCTGCTGCACCGTATACTCCCCCCTGTGGAACATACCCGCACCAAGCGCCGCATCCGTCGTCGTCTCCCTAAACACCTCCTCAAAGTGTCCCGGGTTGCCCGCCCCCGAGCTGGCAATAACCGGTATCCTCACCGCCGCCTTGACCTGTCTGATGAGCTCCAGATCAAACCCGCTGTTGGTGCCGTCCTTGTCAATGCAGTTCAGCAGAATCTCGCCGCAGCCCATGGCCTCGACAGCCTGCGTGAGCTCCACCACATCCAGATCCCGCGTCTCACGCCCGCCCTTGATCGTGCACGCGTACCAGCAGTATTCCTCGCCCTTGGGACCCGGGTACGACGTCTTGACCGTGTGGTGTCTTGTGGCGTCGGGCTTGGGGACGTACACGCGCTTGGGGTCGACGGACACGACGACGGCCTGGTTACCGTACGCTTTGCTGATCTGCTCAATGGCCGTGTTGCCGAACAGAGTCTTGCCAGAGGCGTAGTACTCCTCCGCGGCGATGACGGCGTCAGAACCAATGGATACCTTGTCGGCGCCGGACTGGAAGTACATGGTTGCGATCTCGAGCGCCGAGACCTTGGTGCCGTCCGTGTCGACAGTGTCGCGGATGCCGCCGCCGACGGTTAGGGGCACGAAGACGGTCTTGGAGGTCAGACGGAGAATCTCAAGCATGGGAAGGTCGGCTACGGGGCAGTCGCGGAAGGAGGTGATATTGAGGAACGTCACTTCGTCGGCGCCCTGCTCGTAGTACTTGCGCGCCATCTCGACGGGTTTGCCGAGGTTGCGCACGTTACGGTCGTCGGACTTTTCGCGGACATCGTACTGGTCGCCCTTGGTGACGACAAGATCGCCCTGGTCGTTGGTGCGCACGTCTAGGCAGGCAATGACACGGCGGGTGAGGCCCTCCTTCCCGACGAGAGCATCGTCACCGGTGATCTCCTGGGGAGGGTTGGAAGCCAGAGCAGCGGCACCAGAACCGTCGAGGAAGGCCCGGAGGACGCGCAGACCGGCCACACCAGACTTCTCGGGGTGGAACTGCGTGGCCATCACGTTGCCCTTGGCGATGGCACCAACAAAGGTCTCGCCGCCGTAGACACCGGTAGCCACCGCCCACCCCTTGGACTCGAGCTCGCCCTTGGTGTAGGGCATCTTGTACGAGTGGACATAGTAGTATTTGGAGTCGGGGTTCAGGCCAAAGAGGCTCGGGTTGGTCGGACACGAGGCGTCGTTCCAGCCGATGTGAGGGACGGACTTGGAGGTGTCGTCGAAGCGGTCGAGCTTGCCGGGGAGGACGCCCAGGCCGGGGCAGTTGGGGTCTTCGGCCGAACCTTCGAAGAGAGCCTGGAGGCCGACGCAGATGCCCATGAAGGGCTTGCCGGATTCGATGTGGGCGCGGATCGGGGCCATGTAGCCGGCCGAGGCGAGCTGGGAGAGGCAGTGGCCAAAGTGACCGACGCCGGGGAGGATCAGTTTCTATCGCATGGGGAAGTTTGGGTTAGTATCTGTCGAGTGTCCGTGAAGCTATTCAGGTTGGCGCATTGTAGACCTTCAAAAACATACATCGGCATTGGCAACCTCCTCCGGTGTGCGGACCCACTCGACGCTGTAGCCAACCCTCTCAATGGCATTGACCAAGCTGCGCACGTTGCCGGCGACGTAATCTAGGAGGTGAACGGTCGGCATCTTTGTTTTGTTTGTGTTGTCTGGTCCCCAGTTGTATTCACCTGGCAACGTGACGATGGGGTTTTGTGCTGCAGTGGTCTGGTTTCGGGTGAGTCAAGGACTGGCGCGTTATGGTAGAGTCGGGTCTCAATTGGAGTCACTGCAAAATCTCCGAGGGGTCCCCGTAGTGAGCCGATGGCGGGGCATTCCATCAGTGGGCTGCCCCTGTTAGCGAAGCACTGTAGCAGTGGGGAAGGCACCCCGCTGTTCCCGTCCTGCAGGCACATGGTACAACATTTTGCCCGTTTTGACCGCTAAAATATCCATGGGACAGGCGCGTCGATTAGCAACTCGGCATCTTACCGTTTGTTTGATCATCCGAGGTCGACATTTCCGTAAACATTCATTTCCTCTCTCTGTTTCGTACCCAGCCTTTTACGCCCTCCATCTTACATTCACGCCAAACCTCCAAAGTCCCCCTGGCCGATATCAACATGGGCTCAGTACCCCCAGTCGAAGACGAGGACGAGTGGGAGTACGAATACTCGACAACGGAAACAGAAGTCGGTCACCACCTCCTCAGCTCCCCTTGACTTCAACTAACTAGACCAGACATACTACCTCACTTTAGATCTCTCAGTCCGCGACTTTCTTGAGAAACACCCAGATGATATTGTCAATGCCACCCGCAACGGTTACCGAGTGTGGTACAACCCGCTCTTCAACACATCCGAACCCCGTCCGATGAACCCAGACCTCATAGCCGAACTTCAAGGTCCCGATGACGAAGACGAGCCCAGAAAAGACATGCCAAATCTCGATAATGCTGTCGCCGAGAAGACGACTGCCGACAACGCTGCCACTTCGACAGCCCAAGGTGCTGCTACCTCGACTGCCACCCATACTGCCGACCCTAAGACGGCCGACGCGATTGACCCAGCACTACGAGGACCAGACGAGACCAGCCAACAAAAACAAGCCGACCCAAAGCCCGTAGAGAACAAGCAACCCAATACCGAAAAACCAAACCCAACACCCAAAACACCACATCAAATCGAAACCATTCAGATCCTCGACCTCCACACCAAAGAGCCCATGGTGTCCTACCGCAATCACATCTTCCAGGGCGCGTGGTCTGAAAACATCGGAACGGAAATGATCTTTACACCTCACGACCCAGACAACCCTTTACCCGCTCTTCGCAACCTCGCCGAGACTGGAAACCACGGGAAACTCGACCTCCTAGCCGCCAGCGCGACACGGATCAATTTCAAAGAAGTCCGGTTAGAGTCGAAGCAGCTTGCGGAACAAAACAGCAATAACCTCACCAAGCAAATTAGCAGTATCACAGCTTGGGGCAACGACGACATCCCCGAGCGTTACAAGCGCCCAGACGGCGTATACGTGCACATTGGTGGTGACAAGACGGGTCAGCGACAACCGCAGGCGCACTTCCTGGAGGATTTGATCATGTTGAAGCGCAAGCTGGGGGAGACCGACTCGGTCACCATTCGTCCGCTAGAGACCAGGCAGAACAAGTTGATGATGGAGGACGAAGGCGAAGAGCGCAGAAGAAAGAGGTTGAAGAACGGACATGGACGGTACGAGCGGTGGAGGCAGGGACTCCTTCGAAAAGATAGGGAGAGTAGAGATTCGGGAGAGGAGGGTTACATTCCGAGGACGGAGCCTTCGGGACAGCCAACGGGACAGACGAAGAAGGGCAAGCACTTGGTGGTCAAGCACTTGGGGGTTATGGAGAAGAGGGCGAGGAAGCCACGGTCTAGAAAGGCGGTCCTCAGGCCGTTGGAGTCGCAAGAGACGCTTCCAGCTCATCCCGTTGACCCTGGTATTTTGGTTGGAGGAGATACTCAGCCCCAGGACAGCTCAACGAGCTTGTATCCGCCCGTGCCGCAAACCAGCTGGGCGCCGAACCCATCGGAATATGCCACTGGGAACGGGGAAGGGAGCAACAGGGCTGGAGGAGCGTGAACACCCGGTATGGCAGCATTGGCAAGGCGTTGGCGTTGGTTTGATTTCTATCATTGGGCACTCTTGATAGCCAAGTGGGGACGCATGGTGATCTGCTCATTGTAAGCTGCATGAGGTTGGGTCGTATGGAGTAATTATCACGTACATGTGCTGAAAATCAGGGTTTGTTACACACCTTGCGCACGTAATGGCCTGGTACTAAGAGGTATCAGGCACGTCTCGCTAAACCGTAATGGGACTGCCGGATGCTGTGGATGGCCTTCGATTTGTTCTGGGCGCAGGGTCCGCGTTTCTTGGCTGACGTGACTGGACGCAAAGGCGCGTAAATCCACACGGGGATTTCCAAGTGGCCATTTCACTTTCTCAGCAGTGTCAACCACTGGCGACCAAGTGCTGACGGCACCTGATGCGCCCTGAAAAAGCCACCCGACTCTGCGAGCGCTGTGACACTGCCATGACTGAGGTCTCTTGGTCTGTCCACTCACACCCGCAGTCTTGACCTTGTGGGGGACTTTTCTTCCCTCGACTTTCCAGATTTCGAAGAAAGATTGTTTTCCGCTTTCCGTCTTTCCCGTTTCCTGTCTGTCTCCATTCCCACTTCCATCACTCATTCCTTGTTTGTGTGTCCCCAGTCGGGCGGTTTTCAGCACACCACACACAGCGGTCCTTGGTTGGGCGGAGGATGCGGAGGAGTTATTGATCCTCTTTTTTTTTGCTTGGTTTTTCAACTTGGTTGTTCCTCTTTGATCCATTCGTCTTTTCCTTCCTTGTCTCCCTTTCATCTTTCAAAAACAACCCTGGTCTGGTCTCACCTTGTGTACTAGTTGCACCGCCGCTTAGTCCGGCACCCGGCATCCATCCCTTCGTCCCTTGCAAGTCACAAAGTCCGAGTTTGTCATCTGGCTGAGCCACCGTCTCTCTTCGACCAACACCAACAACATCAACAAATGTATCTTTCCTCGTCATCTATGAACACGACACTTTTATAGAACAAACATCTTTCCCACTTCAACACACATCCTCATATAATCCGAAGGTTCCGACAGACATGATCTACACCCTCCGGCGGGCGACCATCTTCGTCACCGCCCTCACCATCTTCTCGATCTTGGTCATAACCTTCCTCCCACGTTACCTAAACCCTACGCCTCCTGACGCCGAAGAACGAAAGCGAGACAGACAATGGGTCAGCACCTCGCCGTACTGGTTTGATCGCCAGGTCTGTCGATACCTTGGTCTATGTGGTATTCAGCACATTCGATGGGATGCGCCAACTCTGCCCAGCTGGGGTCCCGGTTCCGACCTTGACATGAAGGAAGAAATAGCCAAAGTGCTCGGCGTTGGCAGCTGGGACGAGGACGGAGCGGCAGTCTTCATCAACAAGCCCGGCACCGAATCTTGGGAACATGCGCCCGGCCATGTCGACCTCAAGCGCAAGCGATCCGAGTCTTCCGATACCCTCCAAGAAGTCCCCCAATATGTCCTCGACCATGCGCCGCTCGTCCATCTCTACTCGGGCGAACACTTTTGGCCTTCGGACATTGCCGACCACGTTAAGCACATGGGCCTCCTTGACGAGGAAGACGGGTCGGTGAACAGGACGGATGAACTTGATCTGGGGAATCTCGCCAAGCTCAACGCCAAGAACAGCACCGTCTTTCTGACGAGCATGGATGATGTGGAATCCAGGCCAGAATGGCTCCACAACCGAGCCGGGATCCCCGTCGAGTATGAAGACGGTGGTGATGATGAACACAACGGAAACCCCGACAAAAAGATCCCCGGAAACAACCCGACCGTGCCTACCGATGGCAACACCTGGTGGGACGCCGACAAGCAACACCCGCCGAACCGGATCGCCGCTCCTCGGTATCCCAAGGGCGGTCCTTCATCTCGTCAAAGGCGGTTCCTGCAGGGCGACGATGAGCCGCAGCGTCCCATTGGCGACATCCCTTCGGACGGTGACAAGAACAAGCCTAACACTAGCGGTTATTCCAATGGCCCCGCCGTGCTCATCCTTGTCGACAAAGGCGCCGGCATTTTGGATGCTTTCTGGTTCTTCTTCTACTCGTACAACCTGGGGCAAACCGTTCTCGGCATCCGCTTCGGCAACCATGTCGGCGATTGGGAGCACTGCATGACACGCTTCGATAACGGGATCCCGAAAGCCATGTTCTTGTCGGAGCACGCTGGTGGAAAGGCCTACGCCTGGCCTGCTTTAGAGAAGAAGCCTCAACCGAATGGCAAACCTCCCCGTCCGGTTATCTACTCGGCTGTAGGAAGTCATGCCATGTATGCCACGCCTGGCTTGCACCCGTATGTGCTGCCTTTCAAGCTCCTCAAGGACGTCACCGACCGCGGCCCTCTCTGGGATCCTGCTCTCAACCACTACAGCTACTGGTACGACTACGAGGTCGGGCTGAACGAGACCGAGTCACCTTCGTCCCCTCAATCGCCCTACTTAGGCAACCCGTCCGGACCTCCGAAGGAGTATAAATCTCTTGTTCCTGCAGCGGACAACCCGAAGGCTCCAACAAATTGGTTTCATTTCGAAGGAGCATGGGGCGATGATGTCTATAGTCTGGCGGATTACAGGCAGTGGAGGCTGTTTGGCGAGTATCACTACATTGTCGGACCACTGGGACCCAAGTTCAAGTACTTGGAGAGGAGGAAGGTATGTCAGACGGACAAGTGCACGTTGCTCTGGAGCATTGAGGCCGGGGAGAAGAGCAGTTGGTATTGATCGGGTTGCATGCGTGGTAGAAAGGAGTTGGTTATGCGTTTGCTTTTTTGGTTACTGCTTTTGTTGTTTTCCTTTTGCGAAGATGATTGATACCTCTACGATACCCACTGCACACACACTTGCATGGAAAGCATGGAAGAAGAAGAGTTGTTTACACATACACACAGCATTGGTCTCAATGGCCTATACAAGGAGTTGACGTATGATGGCGATCTATATTGAACATTGATCGACCAGGATGACATAGAGCATCATATTGATATTGACATTGACAGACGAGAAGTTTATACATTGAATTCATTGCCTGTTTCGTCCGAATGCACTCCTTTGTTCGTTTGCCAGGCTGCTTCCGTTTCATCCCAGTGTCCCCTCTTCTCTTTCAATGGTCAAGCCAGTCAACCTGTCAACTTGTCATCTCAACGCCATGCTGACTGCGTGCAACCACACCTGAATGAAGCCTTGAGAAGATATTTTCGGAGCTCTGTCCTGATCCCGATGAGTGGATGACGAAGTCTTGTCAGGTCGACTTCAACGCCACATGTTTCATACCTTTTCTCCCTTCAATCATACCGGAGCCATCACCCCTTTTTTTCTGATCTTTCTCGCCAGCTTTGGTACGGAGACGTGCCCATTTGTCGTTCGTTGCGCCTCCCTGGGGAAGTCCGTATCTCGGTGCGGAGGCAGGATGAGTGGAGGGGGGTGTCCCAATTCGGGCATCGGCCCAGTTATTTTGCTATCAGACACACGGCGAGATTGGGGCCAAACATGTTAGGACAACATCTCATTCCGACTTCGGCTTGTCAAGTTCCTGATGGGGCAGGCGGCACCGCGACGTCATTCCAGTGTCGCGTCATTGACACGCGTTTCTTCTTTCTTTCTTTCTGGCGAGAATTTCAAACTGGCCAGCAGCCGGTCTTCAACTATTTTCCAATTCATCTTACAACCTTGAATCTGGCACCGAAACCGAGCCAACAGACAAAAGCACACGACCCTGACCCCGACAAGAGGCATCAATTCAATCAAGAAAACATTCAAGCAGCCATCAGAACTCACAATCACCAAGCAACATCGCCAGCGAACACCCAAGTACTGTTTAACTCTTTTTGAATTCATTCACTCCAAACCAAAGCTCGAGTTTATAACGGCCTGGCCAAGACCCTCGAACAAAGATCGTTTCCAAGCTGGAAAGGACCTTTAGCGAAAAAAGAGAGAGGAGAAACTATCTACATGCCACAAATCCTTCCAAAAATGTGCATCCAGATTAGCTCCCTCGTGGAATCCAGAGCCTTCAAATCTGGTCCCACTCATCAACTCATCCATCCATCCATCCATTTTCCTTCATTTCCAAAACCATTCCATCACATCATCAACTTCATCACCAAGCGCATCATCGACGGAGTGCGCCTTGTTTGATCATCTGGGTGAAAAGGGGAAGAAGAAGAAACCGCTTAGGCGGCGGAGGGGTTGCCGTTGAAAGCAAGCTTGTTGATGGTGCCGGAGGGAATGCCGGTGATGACGCCAGAGTTGGCGGTGCTGGCAATGTAGGCGCAGAGAGCAGCGGGGGTCTTCTTGCCGAGGAGGGTGAGGAGGTAGGCGGCGAGACCGGCGACGTGGGGGGTGGCCATGGAAGTGCCAGAGATGGTGTTGGTGGCAGTGGTGCTGCCGATCCAGGTGGAGAGGATGGAAGAGCCGGGAGCGAAGATGTCGACGAGGGTGCCGAAGTTGGAGTAGGAGGCGATGGCATCAGCGGAGGTGGTGGCGCCGACGGTGCAGACGGTGGGCTCGGAAGCGGGGGAGTAGTTGGCGGCGTTCTTGCCGTCGTTACCGGCGGCAACGGCGAGGAAGACACCGGCCTTGACCATGGCGGCAGCGGCGCTGTTGGAGGAGGCAGAGTAGCCGCCGCCGAGGGACATGTTGGCGACGGTGCCGTTGGGGCACGAGCGGGTCTGGGAGTCCGTGGCGACAAAGTTCATGCCGGCAATGACGCCGGAGGTGGAGCCGGAGCCGTTGGAGTCGAGGACCTTGACGGCGTAGAGCTTGGTCTTCTTGGCAACACCATAGGTGTTGCCACCGACGGTACCAGCGACGTGAGTGCCGTGGCCGTTGCCATCGGAGTTGAGGCCGTCACCGGCGTAGTTGGCGAGCCAGGTAGCACGGCCACCGAAGTCGGTGTGGGCAGTGTTGATACCGGTGTCGATGATGTAGGCGCAAGTACCGGCACCAGCGGAGCTGTCGTAGGTGTAGGTGGTCTTGCCCTTGGTCTTGGAGGAGAGACGAGCGAGGCCCCAGGGAGCGGAGCTCTGCGAGGTGTAGGCGTTGATGGTGAAGACGGCCTCCTGCTCAACGTACTCGACCTGTTGTGTGTTAGATGCTGACTGCTGTGTAGGAAATCAAGGAATACTCACGTCAGGGAGGGAGCGGATCTCATCGAGGGTCTTGTCATCGATGCGGCCGGCGAAGCCACGGAAGGCGTGCTTGTAGACGTGGTCGGCCTTGCCGTTGCCGAGCTTCTTCACGGCCTTGTCGAGGACATCATCGGAAGCACCCTCACGGAACTTGACAATGTACTTGCCGGGGACAACCTTGGTGCCGGCGCGGGCCTCAAGGATGGGAGCGCGCTTGTCAATGGGCGCCGAGGGGGCGGCCAAAGCCAGGGGCAAAAGAGCGAGGACAGCGGACAGCTTCATGGTTGCTGATGTTGTTTGAAAGGCCGGGAACCGTTGAGAGGATGGAAGAGTGAAGGAAGGATTGAAGGCTGGATGGTTGGAGTGATGATGAGGAGATTGGATCGGAAACGGGGGATGATCTGGATGATATTTATCCTCGACTTTTGCCACCGGATGTCCTTGTCGTCTTCAGACTCCAAAGTCCAAAGTCCAAAATCCAAAGTCTCTCCAGTCTCCAGACAGACACTCCTCCAATGTGAGGCTCAAACGACCTTCCGAAACAAGAGAAGCTGGCCATTGTCGATACTGGGTGTTGAAGGTGCATCCACAGGAACACTGTCGATCCGCAGACACAGGCCGGATCGTAGAGTCTCGGCGTCGCGGCGCGTAACTTCGATCTGGGCAGGACGACAATCACCACCTTCCGCGTTGGGATTCACAGCCGTCCAGAATGGATACCCTCTTGTCTCTGTGACAAAGCTAGAAGAAACCGCACGTGAGGACGGGCCCTCCCGAGTTGTCTGTTGGTCGAGTCAGCGAAAGAAGAAATGCCGATCCGACCTCTACATGGGCAACCTGAATGGCCGAGAGCGGGAGATTTGAGAGGTACCTAACAATTCGGGAATGGTTCGAGAAGGCCAGCCATTTGGGACCAACAGCAGCAGTCCATCACGGCCGGCGACTGTCATTGGACTTTGGGGCCTAGTTCATCCGGCTCGATATTGGACTCTCGCTTTATCTCGACCACGTTATCACCGACCAAACCCAAACTATGGCATCAATGCACAGACGAGCAGGCTAAAAAGAGCAAGTGTCTCTAGATGCCAAGTAACTGCTGTGGCCATGGACAAGAGCACTGAACCGGAAGCTGGTTGAGGTATCGGGCTCTGGGAGGGTGGCATTCTTCTCAAGGAACCTGGTCATGCTTGCCGTATCTCGATGCCACCCTCGGCCAGGGTCGAACAGGGTGTGGCGATGGCGCGATCGGCTATGGGCACCGTAAAGGCCCCCCCCCCCGGCCGCTTCAGCAAATCGATAGCGCTCAAGATGCCGCGGGAGTTGGAGCAGGCCTTGCCCCAGCTTTCAATCGTCTCCAAGCCAGTCTCAAGTACCGGCAGTCCACGATCTCAGCGTGTCCGGGGAAAAAAAAGAGGAGGGTAGATGCCAAGAAGCAAAGTGAGTTGTCGTCATGCTCACTGCATTTCACCATCGATACAAAAGTTGTGAGTCTCAAAGGCAGGTGGTACAGAAAGAGGCTTTATCACAAGGCAAGGCACAAATGCACGCCTAGAAAATTGATATGTGGCTAGGGGTGAGACAATATCGAGAGACTCGAGAGTGTGTTCCTGTCCCTTGGTGCAGCGACGAGCCAGTTATCGCCGTGGTATTCTTGATTGCTACGGTGCATGAACTTGACAAAGCATTGTCGTCCTCCTTCAATTTCTGGAAGGCCGTTCGCCGTCCACTAACAAGCACTTACCCAGTAGCATCATTCAGTGACAGATTTGCATACCAAAATCCCCGAGGAACGACGATCACAGCCTGGGAGAAGCAGTGTGCTCCGGAGTTTGACGGCAGAAACGGCCTTGTTCCTGCATCAGAAAAAAAAGAAAAGCACATCTCGTCAGCCCAGGTGTAGACGCTGTGGATCAGTCCCTTGGCATCGAACGGGGCCCATCAAGACGCCCCTTTGCAATTTCTATGCTGTCTCACATCTTTTTGCCCCGACGTTAATATCCAACGACCTTTTGTGAAACGCGAGATATCCCCCATGGGCGTTCCGTGATGGCGTTGTGGCTTGCCCGGTCTCCGGCCACTTTGGTACTCGACCAATCCTCCCCCGCGCCCGGAAAGCCCCCCTTGCCCTCAACTGCCACCACTCCGGCCCCCCTCTTCCTCTCTTCTGCACCAGACCGCGGTGGTGGTTCACACGGCACCGAGACGGACACCAACGCCAATGGGGATGGGATGGAGTGGATGGCTGGGCAGAAATGGGGCCCAGCCATGAAGCTAGTGTAAAAGGTCGATGGAGTTCAATAGTGCCAAGCAAGCGACGGACAGGGACAAAGGAGCTAGTGTAATGCGAAGTGGGAACTGCTCAACTTTATCCTTTCAATCTTGCCTTCCTGAACGGGAAATGGGGGAATCCGATTAGCGAATCGAATGCTGGCTGTTTGT